TTGCCAGATAATACTTTCACACGCAGTGGTTTCTCTAATTGGAAAAAAGCAACATATTCTGATGGAGGATTCATTTCGCATATACGTTCAAATGCGCATATGGCAGCATATCAGACTTGGATTGAATACAAAAATAAAAAACCACAACAAGCTATTCTGGATATGTTATCAGACAAAAGAGAGAAACAAATAAAAGCTAATCGCCATTATATTGCAGCTGTTATTGATGTACTCAAGTACACTGCTGTGCACAAAATAGCCCAAAGAGGACATGACGAAAGCAGTAGCAGTATGAACAGAGGAAATTTTCTCGATTTAATAAATTTGGTTGGCAAGTATGACTCTGAAATAGGTAAAAAAATAACTTCATTGCCGGGAAATGCAAAATACACAAGCAAGACGATCCAGAATGAAATACTTCATTGCATGGCAGCAATGGTTCAGCAACAAATCATCAATGAAGTCAAAGAGAGTGTTCAATTTGCAATAATGGTAGATGAAACGAAAGACTGTCGAAAAACAGAACAGGTTAGCCTAGTAATACGATATTTTGTACGTGACGCCGTATGCGAAGCATTTATTGGATTTGTGCCTGCTCATGATCTAACTGCTGATGGTTTGAGTAATCTTATAATTGATGAACTGAAAAAATTTAGCCTCGATTATCAATCAAACCTGATTGGTCAAGGATATGACGGAGCGTCTGTCATGAGCGGCAAACAGTTGTAATTAAGCACCTGACCTGAGTTGGTTGGCTTAACATAGACCTTTGAAATTAATTGTTTCTCGTGATGCATGATAAGACAATCCAAAAACGCAATTTCATTTTCTTTGCTGAACTCGATAGTAAATTTTAGATGGGAATTATTTTGAAAGACATTCCGCATGGTATGTTCGAAAAGGAAATGAAAACTTCTCTTTGCGAATTTTTTGAAGTTGACGATGTAAAAAAGTGCAAAGTTTTTGCATCATGAAGCCAGCCCATTATCGCTCAGCCTGCCCGAGTTTTCCGAAGACGTTGACATGAATAAAATGTGGGACGAATTTCTTAGTATATGTCGGTTAATTTTTGAAGCTAAAGTTGAAGACAAATTTCCCTGTTTTTTCGCTGATGACTTGTGGAAAGTTACTAATTGTGACAATAGATTCGAGAAATTGTCAACTGAATAGGTGAAATTGCAAAAAAGTGTTATTCAAAATAGTCCGGCCGTTCTGGAATTTCTTGAAGAGTATGGCAATATACTGAGTGATGTCCAAAAAAAAGGTGAACAGTATCGTGTGCAGTGATGTATGCGCCGATGGAGATTCAGATGCTGAGACATCAGTCGCTAAAAATTTGTCTGACATTGCTGAAGAAGATAACAATGATGATGGAAATTTTATAAGTCAGACGCAAGAAAAGAAGAAACATTTTACTATCAACTAATGCAAGTCCATGTTGTCATGCAATATCAAAGACCACTGTTGAACCTCATACGCAATATAAAATATCAGCTAGTAAAGTTTTATATCGGAAAAAATTTTATCACATTGGTAATGTTTCAAAGACTTGTGCATCCAATGTTGTTGACCACCTTGAGTCAATTGATGTTAAAGTTTTGTCTTGCTACCCTGTATTCAAGAGGAGAGATGACAAAATAAAACTTGATGAAACCCACCCTTCTACGTCATTCCGGTTGTGTGTAGATGAGAAGTATGCGGAAATAGTTGAAAGATCAAGTTCTTGGCCTAATTATGTTCAGGTTAGGAATTGGGTTTTCAATAACAACAGCAAAAGTGGCAGCACCAGAAATGCCGATGTCAATGTCAGGACATGTTCTGATGTGAAACGATGATATGGAACTAGTGTCATGTTTTAATTGCAAACTTTAAATTTATGATTTGTTAATTTGACTTAATTTTTTTTTTCATTTACCCGCTTTTTTTATATTATGCAACTATACATTGTATATTCGTTTAATGTACATTGTGGATAAACTGTTGACTTTTGACAATCATTTCTTTAATTTATTGTTACTGGATTTTGGGAGTGCCTGTGAGATTTCATTTAATAGGCGCTATATAAATGCATTAAATAATATATATATATATATATGTATATATATATATATATATATATAAACATTATTGAAGATATATGCCCATTCTGCATTAATGACTTTCTTTAATGAGCACTCAACAAGTCTGAATTTATTAAACTCGTATTTATTTAAAACAATAGACATGGTAAGGCTAACAGCGCTGTTTCGGGAAGTCCATCTTCAGAGCCTATGAAAATAAGAATAGCATGAAATATTTTTATAAAATTAGAATGCATATTAAATGTATGTGTATATGATGTTTTTGCTGAGTTTTATATGTCGGATCTTGAAACTCGCATATTTAAAGACCCAGATAACAAGCCGTTGATATATGCACGATATGTTGATGATATATTCGTTATTTGCAAAACGGTTTCTGATGTGTACTGTTTGCGGAATGTCTTTCAAAATAATTCCCATCTAAAATTTACTATCGAGTTCAGCAAAGAAAATGAAATTGCGTTTTTGGATTGTCTTATCATGCATCACGAGAAACAATTAATTTCAAAGGTCTATGTTAAGCCAACCAACTCAGGTCAGGTGCTTAATTACAACTCAGATTGCCCTGAAAAATATAAATATAACGTAGTTTATAATTAAATCTAATTATAAACTAGATTTAAAATTTAGTTTAAAAATATTATAAAATCTAATATCTCCATGTGTAATGGTGAACATAAACTTAAACTCATCATATATTATAAAACTAACCGGACTTCTAACTTAATAATAAAAAATAGTAATAGACATTCTACAAGTATTTTGGAACAGAGTAGCGTGGTGTACAGCTTCAATTGTCCTATGCCACACAGTGTTGTGGAAAATTATGTTGGGCATACGCGTACTACTCTGGCCAGAAGGCTTACGATGCACGTACAGAACGGTGCCATTAAAGATCATATGCTCAAATCTCACGGTTTGCCACTAACCAGAGCATTACTTGATGTTAACACGAAAATACTTGAACGTGAATCGCACCCAGTTTGCCTCA